CTTCGCACTCTCACTGGTCTATAAGCATGTCTTTACGCCACACGTTTTTTGTGTTTCTCGGCAAAATTCATAACCATTTCAAAGTTATTGCAAGATTCAGAGTGTGACTTCTAGAACAATTTAAAGAAAATGGGGAAGATTTTCGAGTCTTTAAATCTCAGTGCCTGAGACTCGACGATGTATAGATTAACTGGCAGATGAAATACTTGCGCTCTGCGCGAGGTTTATACGTATTTTAGCCAGGTATCTTAACCTCGAGAACACCCTGTAAACTACTTTCTTCACTGAGACATCAAAGTTTCCTTAGGTACAAAATCCCACAAGTAAAACATACCTCCACTCGCCAAGCCTGTGCTAATTACCACGATCAAGACTTGAACCTATATGCGGAAGGATATAGTTTTTGAAGGTTTAAAGATAGTTTTATCCCTCAATATGGCAGAAGTACAAAGAAAACATATTTAAAGGCCGGCAGGCTCACCTGTAGCAAAATTAAAGGCCTTTGAAGTTTCATTTTGTCGCTATTTCATCCGGAACAGAGCAAAGGCAGTTTTGTTACGTTGATATTGATTACATAACTCTCCTAATTTTAATTTTTACCGACAGGTTTCATTTCCCCGCTGAGATTGCATTTTAGAAAAAAACGATTAACCAGTTTTATAATCAATTTCGCAATGGCCACGAAAAAGCATGTTTTAGAAATATTAGTAACATAATTGAAGTAGGAAGACTGCGTAAATTTTTTATTACGCTTATATTCGAATAAAGAACTGATTCCAGAAGACCAAAAAGAGTATTATCTATTTTGGGGGAATATTAGACAAATTACGTATTAAGATCGCGAAATTTTAGCTTTAAACAGGAGCCTCCAGGTTAAACAAAATATTGCATTGTGGTTTCTGCTAAGGTTAATACACTATAAATATATACTTCTTCTTAGAGACAGTTACTTTGCATCTACCGACAATAGCGATAGCGGGGGTTCATAAACGGCTTGTAATAACAGTTTTTAATCAACACAGTCTCCCGCAAACAGTTCTTTTCTTAAAGGAATTATTTAAATGTAGCTTTGAATTCTTGAAATAAAATGCTGTCTCGGTGTGTTCTTACTTGTGTTCTATTCTTAGCCTTTTTTCCTCGTACATGGTTATTATAGTTTCCGCCGTTACACATCTTCACATTTCGATTGTTGTACAAAAACAAATATTTTGGCGGGCCTCTGCCTGAATAGCCTCTAATGAAGGGACTATGTCACACTGTGTTCTGTTCACTGTGGCTCCAGTTTGACACTTAAAAGGTGTCAAACTGCTTTTGTTCCCCAAAGTAAATTAACGAGAAGCAGAGTGTGAATCAGTAAAGGTCGACGAGCTCAGAGTGTGCAGACCGACTGATACAGGAGTGAGGAAGTGGGGGCTCGAGACCAATCGAAAGACCACTTTGTTTATTTGAGGACCAAGTCTAACCTTTACTATCTTTGCAATTTAACACACAGAAACGTTGATAACCTCTGTTTATCTTTCAGGGAGAACACTTTTTGAAAAACTCCACTTTTAATATAAAATAAATAAGTTATTCCATCAAGCCGATTTAAAGTCATCATAACCACCTGTCCGTACAAAACCTTGCTCTTAAAATGCTTTTATACGTATATATTTGTTACTGAGATATTCATACATGCTGGCCCAGTTTGGCTCAAAGTTAATTTTAATGGGGGGCTGTATAAACAATGATAAGACTAAGCCACAACACCGGTAGCTACGTTCCCTACCCTTCCAAAGGGAGTTCTTTAACGTTCCTGATAGCCAGTACAGAGGAAATGCTAGAGACGGAGCCTACGGTTTATCATACTCATCCGAGAAGACTAGAATGTCTAACTATTTTCCGATGTCATAGCAAAAGTGGCGCATTCTCCCCAGTTGTATTTACGATCCTGAGTGTTTGTCTGATCTGGAGCTTGAACGCTCGACCATCCTACGAGGATTATTATGCTTCGAGAAGTTAATTGTAAAAGCTCTTCTCTCCATATCGACAGATTGCAATAATAAAATTTTGTCAGTAGCGTATTAGTGATGCTTTATAAAGCGTGGAAACCCTGTATGTAGTTCTACGACGATTGTTCCAGTAAAAAACAATTGTAATGGCAAATGCTTACGATAAATTTCGTTGTAACATAAAACTTCCTTTGAATAAAGGCGATTGATACCAAGCAAGAAAAATACGTCTACATAGGCTTTAGGAGCATAAGTAACTTATTTCGAACAAAGTTCATTGAATATCCTAATCTCGAAAAGAAAAACCCTGTTTCTAATTTTAGAGTATCCTAAACCTCTTCTAGTTACCGCAATCAAGATTTGAGGAATTTTTCTTTCTGCAGGTTAAAACATACGTTTATCTCCCAAGGTAACAGTCTAAACAGGAAAACATTCAAACGTCAGCCTTCTCACCTTAAATAAAAGTAGGAGCCTTTGAGCATTCATCTTGTCTCTTCTTTACTCCAAACCGAGCAAAAGCATGTTACGTAATTATAGTTTAAGTACATAATCGGCCTCATTATAATTTTCTTACTGACAGGAAATATTTCCCCGCTGAGATTCCAGTGAAGGTAAAACAAAACATCAATTTTTAATCAGGTTTTCGCAATGGCCATGGAAGTGCATATTCGAGAAATATTAATCAAGTAATTGAAGAAGGGAAATTGGTGGTAATATGGACAAATAAAAGTACGAATAATTTTTTAGATTGAATGTAACAGGAAATTTATTTTTTACGTTTGTACCATTTCTTGTTATGAATAATACATCTCTTTCTTTACCTCCTCGTGGAGTTTTTATCTTTCTAATCGGTTAAAGTAGGCTTTTTTAAGCCATTGTTCATGGAAAACAAGAGAAATAGCGGGTGAGCGAGGCTCAGCGACTTCCTTGACAAGCCAAGTTAACCTTGGTACACCCACTTTTTGATTGTCTAGTCTGACTGAGAACCTGGTACAGGATGTTGGTGAATACGATCGCACATATTAGAGTGCTTAGGTATGCTACGGCTATGCATCGATTCCACAAGCTTTTCGTTATTTATTCTTTTGATGGATTTCTTGTTTTGGAACTGTTGGCTTGACTACTGATTTATTCACAGTGTACGTATTGTACTCATTTTGTGCGTTTTTGAATATGAACGAGAACCCCCAACTGCAATATTATTATCCCAGACTACCTAGGCTATGGTTACATGGTTACTACAAAGATAATTAAATTATGCATAGGTAGGCTTACCTAGACACAGTTGTTTTGAATATTCCAAAAATAGTAAAGGCGGGGGCTCATTAAGACAGTTTTCAATCAATACAGTCTTCTGCAAGCAATTCGTTCTCTGTATGTCGCTAAAAGTTCATGAAATCATGATAAACATTGTTTTGTTTTGTTCTGTTTTGTTCCCCTATTACGTTTTTGTTTTTGTTTTTTTGAAGGGCTGGGGGTTGTGGGACGAAATACAAAATTGAAGTAATAGGAAGTTGAAAATGTCAATCTGTCAACAATTTTGTCGCCGATTGTAGCTTCGGTGAAAGCAAATCACTTCTCATTTCATGCTTTAATCCACAATCGAAAAGGAATTAGTGAGAACGATATTTATTAGCCAACGCACGACCTTTAAGTTTTTCGTAATGGGCAAACTTTTTAGAAATAGGATTACCACTTTTTTTTTTAGCAAGTGGAATGGACACATTTCTTAATGAGGTGATCTTTAGCTGGAATTTTTCTCTGAGGCTGGTAGGGGCTTGTCTTGAGCACCGTGGTTGATATCCTGCATTGCAGGATTGGTAGTCAGGCTTGTGCCTTGTCGCACCTCAGCCCATGGCTGGAGGGTGGTTTCGTGTCACAAACATGCCTTTGAAGCGGGGAGGCTTATTTTACATTGCAAATACTTGGTGGCTGTGTCATCTCATACATCGAGCAGTATATCGGCTACCCTCACGAGCATCTATTTCAACACAATATGGAGCCAATGAAACTCAAACACCATTTTCCCATCATAAAGAAATGCAGGAGCAATCTTGACTGCCTGACATATGAAAGTCATATATCAGGCATCTTAAGCCATTAGTCAAAACTCAATTAGAGCAAAACTGATGAACATATTTTCTTAGTAATCACATGTTCTGTCACGTTAAGTATTTTCCCACCTTATATGCTTAACTGTAGATTCTTTTATGATACAAAACCTAAGCTACAATGGCATCCGAAGATGACAAAACGTCGTATATTTCGTTTGATAATTTTTGTGTTGGATATCTTCTCTCAAGCCTTACTTTCAAGATTCAATTACCTAAAAAAATCATCTAATAATATCTACGCTTCCAAGAAAAACCAAATACAATTCCAGCAAAAGAAAACTAAGCTAACTTAGGGATGATCGTTTGATTTCTTTTCCGAATCAAGCACCGAAGGATTTATCATTAATAACAAGAGTTCATTAAAGTCATTTTCCTCTCTCAAATAATCAGCCTCCATGTATTCTGTTCTACGAGTGAGAACAATAAGTCTTTCAAATTTTTCCACTTTTAGCATTCGTTCCTCTGTACATCGGGTAATACATTCAGAATTCAAATAGAATGGCTCTGTTTCAGAAAGACACATGTTGAAAAATATTGTCTCATCGCAAAACAACTTAAACTCAGTCCGATTACTTCCCTCGTGAAAATTTTCCATTAAACGCTCCTCAATAAAACCTGCCATTTCAAGCTCTTTTGCATTTTCTTCTGCGTTTGATTTTGCGTCACCGCATGATTCGTTGAGGATAGAAATCAGAATATTCATAAGAAATATATTTGTGAATATACAAAACAAAAACGAAAACGTCGAACAACGAAGGGTTTGTCCCTTCGAAGAGCGTCCATTGGGACTGCTTTTCCTAAGAGGAATTCGAATTGAGACATGAATGCATTGAGGTAACTAGAATGCTCTAATACTACACCACCGAGAAATATCATACCTGTTACAACAAATGCATTAAACAGGATTATAAAAAAAGAGCACATACGAGAGTTGATAGCCTATAGATTGCCGAAAAGACGAAGACAAGTATATCACGTGTGGGTTAAAATGAATTAGATTCAGAAGCTTGACTGTCACCATGAAAACAGCAACAGCAATAAACGCATTTTCTAGGTTAAGCCAATCCAAGGCTGTGTGGAGATGCACGATTTCATATGGATTGGCTTGAATAGATTTGATAGTGTTCAAAACGCTTTTAGCTCTGATCATGTAAAATGCTACAGAGGCTACAGAGAAAATTATCATGAAGAAATCCACCATGTTCCAAAGAGACTTGAAGAAACCTACGCGTTGTTGATAAAGGTGAACTAACATAACTATGAAGTACAAGAGGACCATTGCCATGAACAGAAACTGGCAAATTAAGAAAAACATCAGAGCTCCTGACTCAGTGCTGTACAACTCGAGTGTTTCAATTCTCCTTGCAGTGTAGGCTGCACCAGTAGCTATGGCCTCGTAAAAGTATGTGGCAACGCTAATCAAGTTTTTATTGACATTGAAAACAGCAACCTCTAGAATTACAGCTCGAGTTTGGCGATCAAGCCATCCATTAGTAATAGTCTCGTCAAGGACGCCTTGTGCAGTGCTTTCATCGTATCCCATGGCTGCTGCATAAGCACCCCCTTCATAAGAGTTGTACGACGCTAGAATGGGATCGTTGCGAAGTTCTGCTGCTGATTGATATCGCCAACGCTTAGGGCAAATTTGGAGAGCATCAGGCCACGAAGTATTGAGGGAGAGAGGTATCCAACCTGGAAGGCTTAGCAAAGTCGTGTCCTCATTTTCTGGAGAATAGTCGTGATAACATTCTGCTATAATTCTCGAGGGTGAACTGCAGGAACCTTCAAGTACAAATAAACAATAAAGGGAGGAATAAGTTACTCTAAGATTAACAGTTTTCTCAAATGCAGATAAAGTGAAACAGAGAAAGAGAAAAATGCTGAGCAAAAAAAGAGCACGCTGGTAAAGTTTCTTGATATCGGGTTGAAGGTTGTTGTTCTAAAATTGCTTTTGAGTGAAGTCGTAAGCAGCGAGTTGAAATGTATTCTAAACAATTGTTTTTCTTTTATTGCTATGCCCTATCTCTGCGCCCCTTGTATTATAATTGAGTGTGATAGCTACGAGCCTTTTAATTTCCAGAGTTACAGTTTTCGAATTGATTAAGCCATTATGATAGTTTCCTCTTTGAACTTGCACTTTCCAATCATATATTAGGGATTTTTTTTACCCACCAATTTAGGAGCTCCATTGTCCATCGTCAAGTTCAAACAGTCCTTTGCGATAACCTGTTTGTTTATAAAAATGATATATTCTGATCAAAGTTTACTTTTTTTTTAATTCTGAGCTGTCGCAACCAGGGTATTCCCACTGATATGGACATCTTGTTCCCGATGTACACATCGTTTTTCTCTTCAAGTCCGTTGTAACACGCCTGGTTATAGATGTTTAATATGAATTCGTTCTCTAACCATGCTCCTAAACCGTGCGCATCCTCTACCTAGAATAAATAATAAGTAATTATAAAATAAATACATTAAGATATAAGGACCCCTCAAGAGGATAGAATGTGTGATTCGCATGATTGTTAAACAAACGAACAATTAACGATAAAGCATTAAATCAAAAGACTGGAACGACGTGAAGGGGGAAGGAGACTAACTGCCAATATTAAATGCAAGTAGGAAACAATGAATAAAAAATTAATAAACAAAGAATTCAAACGCCCACTTCCCATTAACGAACCTGTTTCTCTCAGAAATTCGTCTTGATAAATTTAAGAGGAAAGCTCATTTAAAAAGTTGAGATTATTACCCGATCAAAGCTATATAATATTAACATATTTAAAAGGTGTCGCTTGATATCTCACTAAAGGAGAGAGATATCTCAATAACTCAACCTCTTACCTCCTAAAGTTCGGAAACCCCTCCGAAGATTATCGATTGTTCACCCGAAGGAATGTGATGAGCTTTGCGCTTCAAAAACACGAACGACAGTAGCTTTAACAACAACAAAAAGATAAAGTGGAAGCGGTTTTGTTTACTGACATCCAGAGAGGGATAATCCATTGTCTCATGTAACCTTAAACTGATTACATGTAGAGAATGAGAATTTGAACAGAAGGCGACCAGAGGGTTTGGCCTCAGGAAAGTCAACGTAGATTTTTTAAAGTGCAGCAAAGACATGCAAACCTCTGATTACTTAGACGTGCTATTTTTCTTAGGCTCACTGACACTTACAACTAAAGCAACCAGAGTGACAGATCACGCCTTCTCTGTTACTGATCACACACACACACAAATAAGCCTGAAAAGGTTGTTAAATTAGGTTTTAACTGGTCGTCATTTCGAACCTCTTTCTGGTGTTGTTTTGTTTTTTGTTTTTTTTGTTAGAATGGCTTGTATAAGAGCTACTAACGTAGACATCATTGAGATTTTACCCATTTCACCTAACAGGCTCTCCTACAAGATTCACCTGTTCAGGTATGATTAAGGAATACTACACTCCTACAATTTGAAACTATTTTATTAAACAACTTGTACTAATTCTTTCTCAGGAGAAACTCATATAGGCAGTACAATAATTGTCCTTTAAAACTCACTTGGGCCCACCACAGACTATAACTTAGCTCTCTACTGACAGCAAAGACTCACCACGGCCTCCAATCTCTTCAAAATATACAATTGTTGAAGTATATCACAGTACTGAGCTATCTTTTGGTAGAGCTTCCTAGATAGTTTGTCTTTTCCGACTAAAGAAACTACTACTCCTAACTGATCGAATCCTTGTATACTTTCACAACGTATTTCAAAAAATTCCGGAATTCAAAGCTTACAACACAACTATTGTGGTAGAAATACATCATAATTACATAAACTAATAAATGTTCTTGTTTTCCATGCTATGTCATCAGAAAGTTTGAGTATCGATTTCACAGTGGCTAAGAATTGTAGAAATTATTTACAGTCTTTATCAACAACACACCTAAGCTGCTTTAGTTTCTAACGACCTGAGTAAACATCAAGAGTTCAAAACGTTTATTAATGAGCAAAATACAATGCTAAAAGTTGTGCTTAAAAATTACTTTGTGAAGCAAATCGATTGGAATAGATAGAGATGATATTATGATTATTTGGAAGCTCACTAATGCCCATAGTTGTTGACATTAATTAGCTGGGAGAGGGGTGAGTCTGTTCCAATGCTCGGATAAACAAAACTTGTTCAGCCAACTCTCATGATGATTCAACCGAGGTTATAGAATGTCAGTCACTACTACTGACTACCTTAAGTCATAACTTCTCATGTGAAATTATTTAAGTCCCTGTTATCCTGTACATTGATGTACACGTGCGTGCCAATAAATCGATTTGTGAATCCTTTCGCTGCGCAGAATGACTTGCTTATGGCATTCAGTCTGTGCTGCAGTAGCGCAAATAACAAGAAGGTGGCTTTTGTAGTTTGTATATAAAGTAGGATCCGCAGTCTTTCACATTAATGTTTATTGATATCTTGCAACAATCTCCAATTCGGTTGAAGCAGACCTGGGAGGAAACCTCACCATCTGCCAATGTGGGGTGACCACTTTTTAGCCAGCCTGAGGAGGCTGCACCACATTTCCACCGCGGTACGCACCAGGTTGGCATTTTTGTTCCGGCATCTCCCACGAAACGATACCATTTCCCGAATATTATGGATGAGGAATCGTCGTCACATTTTTCTTTACCGTAGGGTGTGTTGTAAGTGCTCTTTCTGTCAGCATCGCTCAGGTTTCTGTAATTATAGCACGGATCGGCTAAAAAGTTGAATTTGAGTTAATTCGATGTTTTATATATTTTCCTTTATAAGAAAGATTAAGGAAAAAATTACTTTATTTATAACACCCATTTTGAAATCACTGATGGTCCCTGTAATCTGATTGGCTCTAACTGATGTGATTTATTCACGAATCGCACCATTTTTTGCTCTAAATCAATTTTTTTTCCAGCCAATGAGGAAGTAGCGTTAACAGCAAAACAACCAATCAGATTTCAAGGCTCAAAATGCTACACAGCTTACAGAAAAATGAAAGACAAAGAGTGGCAAATTGTGGCAAATTTTGCAACTTTTGTTTCCAAAACTCTTACTTTTTTCCCTCAAAAAATGGGTGACCTTAATTTCAGACCGGCTCAGTACTGCATCAATAAAATATTTGAACTGACCAAGTCCTGTATTTGGGCAATTTCAAAATGGATGTAATAAAATGGTAATTGAACCTCATGTCGTGCAATTTTTGTTTGAAATCATACTTGTGAAAAAAAATCGAACTCGCGCTGTGCGCTCATTCGATTTTGAAATCACGCATATGATTTCAGCCCAAATTGCCCTCCACTCAGTTCAATTACCATTATAAACTGCAGAGTTTTAAAAGGATATCCTGCCCTGAGAAAATTCGTAACAGCACGCGTATAATATTACGATAGTTTTTACATGTGTTTGATATCGCCAATCATCTGTGTCAGTTTAATAAATGACCGTTGGCGATAAGGTCATAAGCGTTGACCGTTCAATCCAGGGTCGCTTGTCAAGATTTTCTCAAAGTATGGCTGCTTAAAGCATAGAGAAGATTCGTATTTCTAAAAGACAGGGTCGTTCAAAATTTTCCTGGAAGCGGAAGTAAGACGAAATAAGAAAAGAAAAACCGAAAGATAAGTACTTGACCTGGGTGATGGTATTTCTCAATTTCAGCTTTGAATTATCGTACACTTGTCAGAAAATATCGAAAGCGTTTGAAATATACGACACCTTAAGGAAAGAACTTCAAGAGGAGGAGTTTGATAAAGTTAAAAATGAGTGTCACTGTAATCTACCGTTTTTTAAATTGACGAAACCTTGCCCGATTTAACAGCCCAAAAACATGATTGAGAAGTTGAATCGCTCATCGTGACTTGTAAAGTTTTGCTGGTTAGTACAGCTTTGCTCGAGCCTTTTCCAGTGACTGACAACATTTCTTTTTTCCTTACCATTCAAGTCACTCGTAGTCTTTCATTAAGTGTTGTTGGATTTTTTCCCGCAAAGTCTTCAATTTCGACTTCATACTCTGCTCATAGCTTCGTCGGCTAGATTAAAATTTGCCTAAGTTTTCCTTATTCTCTTTGCCTGCTTCTTGATTTTGGGCAAATATTCTTCCATTAAATAGTATTGAAATAAACAAAACGGAATGAATCTTGCTATCAGTCTAAAGGTGATTACCAATATTGTACTGGGCATTCTGCGCTGCGCACAGAAATCGCGTAATCAGGCGAATAAGCGCGCTTGCATTCCGAGAACACGATATTGTTTTTCAATAGATGTACCAAGCAAAGAGTTACGATAATCGTAGCTTTTTAAAGAGCACGTTGACCTCTATTTTTTATTGCTAAATTTTAGTGTACAAATTTCCCCTTTTATATTGGGAAAATTAAAACAAATCATGGAAGGGATGCAAAGGTATAGCTAAAAGCGTGCGTAAAGCGTGTATTACTTGATGATGCAAATTATGACTTTAAAAAACGACTTGAGGAACGTGGCGAGTCGATGTCGATAAAAATTACGTGATTTTTCCACATATTATAAAACAAATTGATGCCTACGTTAGAGACTTTCCACCTTTTAAGTTTCTTTTTTAAAGTTAATTTTTTACTTTGAAAACCCTTGTTGTACCGTGAAATGAGGCGCGTGAAAAAGTGCTAATAGAGGCATAAGTGGGGCAAGTTTGACCCGTCATTTTGTTCAAACAAGCACCGTGACTTGCCTCTTATTGTATCTTTCGAAACAGACATTGGCAGGGAACATTTAAGGAAATATTAAAAACAACTTGTCATATAACTTTATTTAGGATTACAGGCGCAACTGTAGGAGCCCTGGATATTACTGCAAGAGGCGTGTTCATCACAGATGTTAATTTTTGAACACTCGTCGATGTCTGATGGGGATCAAGCGCACCACGTCATAACCCAGAGTTCGATGATAGGATGAAAAATGTTTTGGTAAATCTATAATTAATGAACACCTGTAGAAAATACTGCAAACCTAATCTCCAAAGATGTAGGATAAAACAAAATAACCCATCATTTCTAATGAGGATGAATTATGGAGTAGAACTACATTTTAGGATAAATGTTTCACTACTTCCGGCACCATAATTTGAGTTCAAAGGACGTTTTAGAGTACTCCCCGCTTTGAATAGCTGGGATTGAAGGAAACTTAATATCACCTGAGCAAGTTTGTCCATCTCTAGTGTATCCAGTGTGGCATGTACATACATGTGATCCAATGGTGTTGGTACAGTTAGCATTCACATGACAAGAAAGATTTCTTGCACATTCGTCAATATCTGAGAAATGACAGGCTTTCAATCACGATTCTTGAAGTATGATACATGTGTAAACTTCCTTATTTTGCACATTGAGTGCGATAGTTGTCGTTAGAGAGTTGTTGGTCGCTATGTTTTATTAAATAGAAAGCTGGTCAGCGAAGATATTCAGCATTTTGTTCTCTTGCGTTTAAGTGGAATTGGTCAAGAATGTCAGGCAAAGATAATCAACCAAGAAGGAACGTACAGATTAAACAACAAACACAAGCAAACTAACATTTCTCAAAGTCATAACGAGGCAATTACAATCTAAAGGCTTTTACCTGTGCAGTTCCGTCCATCTCCGTTAAATCCAAATGAACAGGTGCACACAAAGGATCCATTTGTGTTTTGGCAAGTAGCGTTCAAGTGACAATCGTGAGTATTTTTTTGGCATTCATCAATATCTAAAAAAGTCGAAAGAAAAGAAAACTTCTACAACAGTAGTGGTTACACAAGTTGGATATCATATTCGTTTTTTAACTCTTATGAGGTGAAAAAGCCTTAGTTAGTTATCATTGTAACAAATTAATTTTTAATTTAGTCTAAAGCAAAACTTCCATTACAGCGGAATCTCTCTCTCTCTGGACACCATTCCAAACTGTAGCCGAATATCAGTCGTCAAAGATCAGCCTTGGAAGCCATCCTTTAAGATACGCACTCGACGACCAAACGTGATATATATATTGGGGTGGTTTAACTACCCTATGAAATATTTTGTTCTTAAGGGCACATTCTGTAATTAACCTTTTTCGCAATGTTCTCCTTCGAATCCAGGAGGGCACAAACATCGATATCCCTTGATTGTGAAACCGGACTGACAAGTTGCATTATTTTGACACGGAAGGTTTTTACCGCAGACGTTCTGAAAAGAAAAAAGAAAAAAATAATACAAGAAGAGAGATGGATATCTTGAATGATTGATAGAGGAATGAAACAACGGAAGTTCTGGCACATTTCGGTTGTTTTTCACAATTCATTGAAAAGCTTCAAGTTGCTGAATTTGACTTATAGTTTACCTTTGAACCCCGATAGAGAAAAACGGCATTAGTCGACAGGTCAGTATCATATTCAAGATGAGTTGCGTTATTTAATTCACAAACATACGCCGTTCCTCCAGTCTCTGGCTCTTTTTTGAAGTTAGCACTGACACAGTTGTCGTTCATGTAGCAGAAAAGCTCACAGTGATCCAAGTCTTTGACGTATTTAGTTTCGATTATATGGTTTACCAAACGTTTGTCAGCAAAGACGAAGTAATCTGGAAACAGCATTGAACGATTTCGCTCTAAAATAAAGCAATCAAAATATATTTAGAAAACTTTAAATTGTTTTCATTTTAGGCAGAAATAAAATAATGATCACACACATATAGCGTTGAGACCAAAATCCTTGGCGAAAATTTTCGATCTCAAGCACACCACGACGGTAAAGGAATAAGAACGTGTTTAAAAAAATAAACCATTAAAAGGGGAACTTTATTAATGGGCAAAGGGATGACTTTGAGGAGAAAACAAAGACAACATGAAATTATCTAAATGCAGGAAATTGTTTGCTTCTGAGATCGTTGGCCGTGAGAAAAGTTCGCTTCCAAGATGTCCTATAATCTGAAGATAATTAAAAGTTTGTTTTTATTTGCCTTTCTCGATTTCGCGGTCACTGCAACTGTAGTTAATTTAGCAGGTTTTTTTCATGTTGACGTATGACCCATTGTTGTCTAGCATCACGCTACTGTACGCGTTCACAATGGAGATTGGCATGGTTTGTTGATGGTTGAGAGCTGCCACTTGTGTCAAGCTGCAGCTCCCTCAGATTAGCAGCTCTAAAAAAACACCGTCAGTTCGTTTTATTATTAACCGCTGAAAAAAATTTTGATCAGA